GAACGTGCGTGACACGACAATTGTCAAGCCACTGCCGAACCTGGTCTTTACATTTGCCCGAAAAAGTGTTTGGTGTTAAAGCGAGTGGTTCCCCCGATGCAGATATCTCTGAGAAAGATGGGTCAGTCAAAGAACTGATGGTAGGTCAGCGGGGGAACAATCACCATTTTTGGGGAGGATTTTGAAAAGGCCACTGCAATCAAAAACCTGTTGCTTAGCGATGGGTGCCTCTCCATTTAAGATCTCGGTAGTAAATTCTAACTCGTAATGGTCCTCTAGGTGAGGTAAGGTGCCATCCGCGTCCAATGCACGGAGTTGGTAAAACGTGCGGAATGCACGCGATTGTTCTCGAAGCTCGGTACTGCAGTCTCTATAGATGGTCCAGCAGATGTAACACCCTCGCTGAACCGCCTCGTAGAAGTCGCCCACATGTATGTGGTGAGAGCCAGCCCATTCATTCGGCCCCACTGGATGTTCAAAGAGTGCTGGCTTGGTGCCGATCCAGCTACCTGGTGGATGTGTCTTAACCACCGACATCAGGTCGGTACATGCGTTACATAGCATAGTGCCTTGTTGCGCGGGCATCGTGTAGAAGTGTTTGATGTGTTTGGGGTTCGTTAGGTCAAAGGAGGGCGATATGCTGGGCTGCGTGTCGAACTCAATGCATCAGGGCGAGAAAGAGCAGCAATATATAGATCCGAGGCCAGGGTCGTTCAGTGCACCGCCTCCCTTCATTCATCTGTGCCTGAAGGGCGTTATGGCCTGGTCAGCCAATGATCTGGCGTCCACCGATTTAATCGACCCTGCCCAGAGGGCCACCTGCCAACTGAGGTGGCCAGGCAATTCAACGCCTCCACACAGTGTGAATCATGGATGGGAAGTCGATTTTTACATTTTAAGAGACGTGGGACTTGTCGACCGGAGCCAGGCTTGAAGATGGGACGAGAATGTCAAACTTGTCGTGCAGGAATGAAAGAGATTGACTCCTGAAGTGGAGGGGAGCCTTCCGGGCCGGCGTCACATGATCACTATCCGATTGGTCAGCCTTTTCAGTGGGTCGAGTCCTAGATCGTGTCCGTCACACCCACCGTTCTTCTCATCCTTTCGGCGACTCAGCATTCTTAAAGAGGGAGTAAATGAGAGTAAGATAATTATCCCTTGGACCCCGCCATTTTCTACTTCTTCTCCGCCGAATCGAATGAGGAAAAGGCACTTTGGTTCTTTCATGCACTCAGTGGGACGGGTACTTTTGGGGCAAGCAATGTACCACACCAGAAGACGCCATGAACTCCTGGGATCATGAAGGACTCAATGTGTCGGAATTCCTACTTATACTTTCATTTCCGCCAATTAGATAGGGACTGCGCCTCTTAGGAAGTGCTTCAACATCCCCGACCACATATATACTCAGTGCCGCTATCTCATTCCCCTCCCTCATCCTTGCACTGTCCGCATGCTTGGAGAAGTTTTCCTGCAGTTTACATTTACAAGGTGTCTCTGAGAAGGCTATCTACGCGTCGCTCCCTGCCTCCATCATCCGGAAGCCTGAATATGATGAGTCACGGGTCTCGAAAGTCCCAAGAATGCCTATTTAACACACGAGTCGCCGGCGTGAAGGTTTGTGCAAACGGAACAACAAATAGGCTGACAGACAAAAGGCTCGAGAGTAAGTCTCGCTCCAGGCAATCTTGGGCATTCGAGGCTCGAGCAATCAAAATGTCGACCCTCTGGGTCTTTCTATGGCACGTAGATGTCATGCTCGTATCCTGACACTGAACTTGCAGTCCACAGGCTTTGTGGAGTCGGCCTTGACGACCGGGATGACCCTCCGAGATACAACCATCTTACATTGACGATGAGTGAAGACGATGGTATCTTCCAGGCAAGGAATTGTCAAGACAAGGGTTGCATTCTCGCGAAAATGATGGTCCTGCGAGCGACCAGAACAACATGGCCAGGTGTCGTCATCACCAACCTATTGCCGACGCGCGGAGACGTAAAGAGACCCACATTTTATCCGCGGCCATGGTCTCGCCACGTATGTACACATTCACCAGGGGTCTGTTGGTGCCTTGTACAAGAAGATGCCCAACAATCTCTGAGTGGCGGCGTCGCCGCATCTCGCGACGGAGTCCTCGTTCGGGATAGCCTATTCATTATCACGGCTACCTAACTAGGGAGCAGGCAGACCAATCTGGACGGGTATCGAGTAATCACCTATTACTCGTTGAGCCGAAATGACTCTGGATTATTCTTCTTGTTGGTTGGTGGCGCTTGTTGGACAGTGGCGCGCCCTGGAGGGATCGACTTACGTTAGCAGCAAAGTCGCCGAGATGCCAAGCCGCTTATATGTCTGAGATGTGGGGACAGAGTTTCTCACTGGCACGTGGTAATCACGTGAAACACCTCGGTCTTGGCGTCAAATCCCCAACCAACTGCCAACTTCAACATACTCTCTCCCCCAGTCCTTAGCATCTTACATTGATATCGTTGCTGCTAACAGGTGGGAATGTCTAGATTCAAGATGGCAACTCTTTGATTATTTTTTTCATCCTTTTCAGATTTGTCCTTGGGAAAAAACTGGTGTGATGGCGCCCCACTGTCGAACCTGCCCACCTCGAAAATAGCATCCTGACAAACGTTGTAAATATGCTTTCCCTCATTGCGAAACTATCAAGGCCATATCCCTCCATCATAGCGCTTGTGCCGACATGGTCATCCTGCTGGCAAGTGCCCACAATACAACAATCGCTAGGTTACAAGCCTTCCATCTGTTGCTCGAGAGTTGCAACTCTAGCCGCGTTCATGACTTCTCTCGCAACCGCATATAAGTCAACAATCCCCACTGCACCACGAAAAAGCTTGAGTGATGCTCAAGCTTCTTTCCAGGGTTGACCAGCTGGATGTCATAACGTCGAAGAAGCTCGGGGATCACCTTGTTCATCTCAAGGAGAGCAAGATGTCGTCCGATGCATACGTGAGATCCGCCTCCGAACTGACAACGTAAAGTTAACCTCTGGTTTACCACGTCTCGATCTGAGATTTAGGGCATTTGAACTCACCTGGAACATGCATCGTTCCATCATCTTGACCTTTTCCTTATCGCCATCAAGCCATCGTTCCGGTCGGTATACCTCGGCATCGTCACCAAAGACACTCTTGTCTCTGTGTAACACCCATCCGTTCACAGCGACGGCGGTGCCCTCAGGTAATCTAACACCATCAATCTCAGCACCACCAGGAGGCACCTTCCTCGTGATATTCAGCCCGACAGCAGGAGCAATCCTCATGGCTTCTTTCAGACAGGCTTGGAAATAGGGCAGATTCTGTGCCTCATTATACGTGACCATCTCGGACAGATTGGCGGACAAGATCTCTCCAACTAGCCTGTCGTAAACTTTCTTGTTGGACAACACGTACCAGAAGAAGCTTTGCATGGTGCTTGCGGTGGAATCGCTGCCCGCAAAGATGGCGCCATGTGCTATTGCGAATACGTCTCCTGGACCTAGGGCTTCAGGGTGTTCTTTCTGCGCCACGATCAAGCTGTTGAGGAGATCTTTATACTCGACCTTTTCCCCATCAGGGCCCTGACGTTTCTGAAGTTGACCCAGTGCTGTCTTAGTGATGAGTGCATTTTTGCTGGACATGAACGGAATAAGATTCCACAGCGGGTTTCGTCGGAAAAGGTAATCGAGCCACGGAACCTGGCCCACGATGCCGTTATACCATTGGGAATTGTCGATGGTCTTGATAGCGCGGTCAACATCGACACCTGCCTCAAGAAACCCAAATTTCTTGGAGAATGCGACTTCACCCAGGACCTGCAAACAACAAATAATCAGATCTGGATCACCGATCGAGCGGAAACAATCTCCAACTCACGTCGAAAGCGAAGAAATGAAGCCAGTCACCAAAATCGCAAATCTTATTATTGTCGGCAAATTCGTCCAATTTGGATATTAGGAGCTTTTCGGTCTCCTCGATCCGAGGTGTGCATTGCTGCATTGAGGCCAAGCTGTAAGGAGTTGCTGCATATCGTTTTTTGACCCCGTGGACGGCTTCTCGAGTCTCGGTGAAAATATCCGGATTCTCGGGCGGCGGAAACACCCCATAGAAGTCTGTTTTGTGAAAACCCTTTCCTGTCTTGAACAATTCAATTGCAGCTTCTGGGTTTGCAAAAGACACCTCATTTGGTGCAATGCGCACGACTGGGCCTGGTTGGGAGTCAGCACTGTCGAGGGACTTGAAAAGGTGCTTCAATTACCATATTTCTTGTGAAGTGCAATGTGATGTTGCTCGGTCTGGCCCGACCAAGTGCTCCAGACTGCATAGTTCGGTCAGTCGAAAGGTCTCTCTTTATTCTTCCTTGGTCAAACCCACCTTTCCATGCTCTGGTGCATGAGGCGATGAACGGGCCAGGGAATTGTCGCAAAGGGGAGGAGTAGCGTCTCCATAGAGGTCGTACAAACAGCAGCAGGAAAAGGATCACGAAGGGATGGGCCGCTACGAACTGCCATGCAGTTACAACTGCTGACTTCGTCAACGGCCCGTCGTCGGTTGCTTTGATCTCCATGTTGCTAGAGATGTCTGGTGAAGAGCAACTGAGGTATCGTTTGACGAAAAGAATGGATGATTAAGAAGGTGTGAGTAGCCCTCCCCAGAAACCCCCATTACAGCCATGCCACTCAGGGCGGTCCTGAACAAAAATCATTGTCCTTGCTCCTCCACGCTGCCACACATGTTCTAGGACATCGTCGGGGGTTCCCCATTCTCACAAAACAACAGAATGCCCCACACGCTAGCCCCACGATCTGTGGCCATCGAGAGTGAGCTGATGGGCTTCCACTAGCCCACAAACATGCCCGGGAGATGAGACGGGGGTTGGACGGCAGACAATCCTGCCATGGGGATCTTTGTCGTGAAGGGATTCTGAACTGATGCGTACCTTCGTACAGATGGGGTAAGAGTCAAGCAGATGGTTGTGTCTAAACTCTCTCTGGTCATCTCAACTGCCGAGCGGTCTCGCCCTGCCCTATCTTCTTCAACTGTGAGATGCCCCAGGGGACACCTGGACGCTGCAGATCTTCAGTGTCTGCTGGTAAGACTGGTCCGTCTTCTAGTAACGGAGCGACCGATATCTCAAAGTCGCTTTCGGGGGTTTGTGATCCAAACAATTGGCCTGTAGACCTGTCGCGCTTCGTCTTTCCAGTAGAAGCAGCTTCGACGCCTTGGAAGCTGCGGAATCTTCTCCACATGACGCCAGTGATGCTTGGAAGGGGTTTTGAGCCTCGTACGCAGTCACTCGTAAACTGTGGTTTGTCTACCCCACATGTCGAGCTGATGTACGAGAGGTGGTGAAGCCTGCTACTTTCTCCGGCGGTATTCCGGAAGTCCATCTTGGAACGTCTTTCCACATGTCAGCAGGAGGATCCAGCATCGACCCTGGATCTTGACGCGTACTTTGCAATTACACGGCGTCTTCCTGTTTCTGTGTCTGCTCATCTGGCATCATCTCGAAGAAGCCTCGCATCATATGGTGTGAAGGGTTCGAGCGCCCGCTGAGAAGAGGGTGTGCTGGTCATTCCTGATTGAGTGTCTTGGGTGATGTGGAGGTGGGCTGCAATTTGCGTCGAGTTGTGGCTAGGTGGGAGATTTTGAGCTTGAGATGGAGGTACGTCTCAATTCACTCTTGTCATGAACGTGGCGCTGTGAATCCACCTGCGGATAGACGTCCGCTCAAAGCGAGTCTCTGCTTCATTTTTGCTCAGGCAACTCACTGCATCATTGTGGATGGCGAGGTTTGCCAGAAGCAGAGGTCGAGGTCGAGGTCGAGGTGTGAAAGAATAGTCTGGTCCCAGGCTCTGATCCTAGGATACAATATGGGTGAAGGCCAGCTGGTTGTGCATTGAGGCAAGGTGCGCAGAAGGGAGTTGATTGACTACGACTGGCTGACCTTGGTATTGAGTGTGGGAGTTTAGGCGCATGGTGCATGAGGTGAGTGAACAAGTGGGTGGCATGGCCAAGTCGAACATCTTTCGCCAGAAAAATTACCGTTGCTAAGTTCTGCTTTCTCTACATCAGCAATTCAAAGCTGGTAGACAATTAATCCTTGGACGTCCCTATCTACTCGTACATGCCCATTACCGCCCAGTAGATCTCGATTCTTTTGCACCTCAGACTCTTCGTTGTCTGACCTTCACGCCCTCAGCCCTTCCTCTTCCGTTCCCGCACTCCATCCGACTTAGATACACCTTCGACGGGTTTCCCATTGACCAGCACAACTGGTTTATCCCCGGCGACCTTGCCATTCTCCAAAGCATTCTTTCCTCCGTTTGGCGCGTTTTCAATCTCTTCATCCTCTTCTTCGTCCTCACTGCGTTCATCGCTCCTGATATTCGAGAAGACGAAATTTTTGGCAATCCGGAGAATCAAAAACAGCCAGAACAGGTTCACGGCTTGAAGGGAAGCGAGCAAGGAAAACGTGATGATCTGGCTAATCCAACATTTGTATTGCTGAGTTTCCCAGTTCAGCTCGAAAGGTCCCACGGTTCGGAATTCGGTGAGGGTCGCCCACAAGATGAGGAGGTTGATGTAATGGCGGAGATAAATCCACACACACATGAAGAGAAAGTAGTAGGGCCCTACGATGATCGAGTCCAGGTAATTGAGTGTTTTGGAGGTCTGAGAGCCGTTAGCCTTTGAGAAGATCAATTCCCAGGTCTGGGCCTTACCGCGAGGAAAAAGTCACTGATGTCGTGCGTGATGTAGACCGCAATCCCCATCTTAGCGAAATGAAAGCGGTAACTCAATCCGATGAGGGCAAGAGTGACGATATGGTGGAAGACCAACTCTTTAAAGTCCTTCCGGGGCTTTTCCAACTGTAGCATGAGGACGAGGGCTTGCTGCGCCCAGTAGGCCGCTTGCAACAAGTAGTATGCTTTGAAAACACCCTCGTGTTTTCGATGAGGAAAGCCTTCGAACATTGCCGTGGTATTGAAGTACCACAGAGATCCCCTCGACATGACATAAAGCCCAAAGGGACCAAAAATGCCAAAGTAGATGGCCGTGTAGACTTGTTCCATGAATCGCGCCTGCTTCCCTCTCTTTCTGATGCCACACCTGATCGCAATGGGCCGAATCAACCTCTGCATCAGGAATTCTCTTGTAAAGCTCAGGACGATCGTGTAAAAGGCCACAAAGGCTATATCTGCTTTACCCTTGCCGTACATGTTCGGCCCACCAGGGTAGTCAGGCCCGACATTATACGACAAGAAAATCGCTTTGTGAAGAGGGTTCTGCTCCCCGGGAGCGACGTAGTAGGCAATGAGTATCGCTACGGTGAGGATGAGAGGGTTTAACCAGGTGTGTCGAAGGGATATCTGCTTCCACTTTCGAAAGGCCGACCTTGCTTTCCGTCTCTTCGAGTGAGGCTTTCCGTCCTTCTCATTTGCCTGAAAAGAGTCAGTCAATCGGTCCTGGAGGCGGCGTTAGATTATCATACAACAATCTGCCCAGTCGGTCGTGCTGTCATTGTCGCCAATGCGGGTGCGCTGGTGTCTCCCCGGGGATCACCCCCCAGGTTGCTCGATGTCCGCCGTGGACGCGCCATGGTGCCGACAATATTGCCAAAGACAGGCCGCACGTTCCGAAGGCAATAGGTTGTAGTTTTGTGAGGCAATCTTCAGAGAGGTGAAACAGAGTTGCGTTGTAGACACCCTGGCGACCCAAAAAGGGCATGTGAAATGGCAACTCTTATTATTATTACAGTCAGCCTCCACAAAAGTATCCGGCCGGTGGCTGTCCGGAAAACGGACCAGTACCTCGCACGTACCTTTGGAGGGCCAATGGACCCGACAAGCAATTTCCTGGGAAAATTCAACCCTCATGGATTTCTCGTATCAATCGTATTCTTCGTACTACTCTCACATCTACCCGTACAGCACCCCTATGCCGGGCCTTCACAATGGATACTAGATAGAGAAATCTCGTTGCTCAAGGAGTGTGTGAAAATAATTGTGTCGCAGATTGCTTTTCTACACAGTAATTACCAACATGGCTTGTGGAACCGCTCGACAATGTCGTATTTGCCGGCACCGAACTTGAATGCAAGTAGCATCTCTTCGAGTTCTTTCCATCGGTCAGGATTACCCAAGCATCAGTCGTCCTTTTGACCGCTCTCGTGGTGGCCTTTACTAGACCGCTGCGAAGTGTCCACAGTGCCGTGAATCTTGGCCGTCGCTTCCATACCCTCAGGCTTTTTGCTTCTCTCCTCGTCCCCCATGAAAGGATTGTTTGCTCCAGACACATCGCCTTGCGCCTGTCGGGGGTCAGCAAGCTAAAGATCAAAAACATGCACCGTCGGAGTCCACTTACGTCCTTGGCACCCTTTTCTTCTGATTCTTTGGATTGATCTTCTGGCAACGCGGTACCCTTGGGAGTTCTAAGTACTGTGTCAGTCTGGAAGTCCAGCTCAAGTTGTAACGACCAGCATCGTCTGCAGCTGAACCTACGGTTCTTTGTCGCCGCTTTCATCGGATGACTCTTCCTTGGCTTCATCCTGGGTCTCTTCCTCCTTTCCTCCTTCTTCAGTGCTCGCCGAGTCTTCTTTCGGCGGTTCTTCTTCTGATGGCTCTTCTTCTTTTGGCTCCTCGGGTGGAGCTTCCTCGTGCTTCTCTGTGGAATGGGATTCGTGGCCGTGATCGGATATTTGCGGTCCTTGCTGCCATAACCAAGCTGCGGCTGGGATGGTAACGACGAGGGAACCAATTAACCTGTTCAAGCTGTGTCAGAGACCGGTGGGAGATATTCTCGCAAAGATAACTGACCAAGGAATATCGCTGCCCTTTGATGCACCATGTTCAGTGGCGTAAGTCCTCCGACCAACTTGGCGGAAACTGGTTCGAGCTTGGGTTCCTGCACGTCTGAAGGAAAAAGACCGGAGGGTGCCTCGGAGGGCGGCTGATCTTGGTAGCGGCATTGGAAAATGAGGAAAAAGCGAGCAGGATAAATAGTGTACTGCAACAGTCTAGAGGAGAGGGGTTATGACTTAACAAAGGGTCTTTGTTTGCTGTCAGTTGCTCAACGGGAAAACACCTCCGGAAATACTGGGAGGAGAAGCTTTTGGAGCTTCACCCCAGTAACTTATACACAAGTAGTTCCGCATGTCATACGAGACTCCAGGAACAAGCTCCTCCAGCCAATCAGAGTCACCCAAACGTCATTGGTTGCTGCTGTCTGGGTGCGGCTCCCCGCTTGCGTCCAAACCACGATTCATCATCCCACTTGGGGGGTTTTCGGTGTTTGTCAATTCCCAATTCACTGTGATTGACTGTGAACTGGCTGGTATATACAACCTCCTAGCGATTTGTCTGCAATCAACTTTGTGCACACATTCCGTTAATAGGTTACTTTAGCACTCGCCCATTCCAGCGTTCAAGCGAGTCCTTGAGCTAACCCATCACTCCGCGTTCGAGTCTGCCTGCGCCTTGAGAAAATTCTCCCCTCATTCAGTCAAAGCCAACTCCACGTGCGAATTCTACTACACTGAGACAACATTCCGATGTCTTGAGAGACCTGCCCTCCAACCTCTCTCATAGCACCCGAAGCGACTCAGTGGCCCACTATGGCTAGAGACCGTAGTTCGGCCCAGCATGGGGTTGCGCAGTTGCTCAATAAGATTAATGACCCCGATCCAGATATTCGTTTCATGCAACTCAGCGACCTCACAGAGATCTTAGAGTCTCCCTCCTCCGAATACATACGGACCGACCATCATACTGCCGCTCGCATCATCGATGGCCTACTTAAGGCTTTGGCAGACCCGCACGGCGAAGTCCAGAACCAGGCTCTGAAATGGTGAGTGGCAGCATATACAAAGTCCGAATACACTCTAACATGAACAGCATTGCTCCTCTTGCTGCCCGCATACCGGGCGAGACTATTGCGCCTCTTATCGACAAGCTCACCGATCTCACCAATACCGACATCGATATCTCCATTCCCAATTCTGCATTACGGGCTCTGATTGCAGCCATGCCTCAGCCCAAACCAAACGAAGCTCCGGCTCAAGATGTAAAAGATGCATATGGCGCCGTCAGCAAAGTTCTGATTCCAAGATTGGTCGGTCATGTGGTTTTGCCGTCAAGCAGACCGCCACCTCAACTGCCGACAGGCCTGTTAGAGAGACAGAGAGACAAAGGCTTCAGCAGTGATGCAGTCGATGTTTTGATCGAAATCATCAAATGTTATGGGTCAATGCTTCAGGAGTTAGAACTGGTGGCATTAGCGAAGGCAGTGATGAACATCATCGAGAGTCCGCAGGCTGGAGGCGTGGTCAAGAAACGGGCTTTGGCAGGGATAGGAACGTTGCTGGTCCACTTCAATGATTCACAGCTCACCTCTTTTGTTGCTGCCCTCACAGAGAGCTTGCGAAACCCTCAGTTAACTACGGAACACCGGAGATTTCTTGTTGCGACGATCGCGACTCTTGCCCGCTCGAGTCCAGCAAAGTTTGGGCCTTTCCTCAACGACGTCGTTCCCTACGTCCTTCAAGCCCTGAGTCAAAAAGAGATTTCACCCGTTGCCTCCGTGTCGGACGAGGATGCAGAGGTTGATCCAGAAGTTGAGGAATTGCGAGAGACTGCCCTCGTTGCACTTGAGGCGTTACTCGGATCCTGTCCGCATGAAATGAAACCCCATCTACCAAGCGCTATTGACGCTGCATTGAGGTATCTCAAGTACGACCCCAACGTTGCAGATATGGAAGACGACGAGATGGGGGAGCCCGAGGACGAGGATTCTGATGATGGCATCACAGAAGAAGCCCTCGAGGACGACGACGATGACGAGTACGCAGAGTTGGACGATGACGATGCTTTCAGCGATGTCGATGATATGAGCTGGAAAGTGCGACGTTGCGCGGCAAAAGCCTCTACACCATCATTTCAGGCTCCCCCGCGAGCGACAGAGGCATGCTCTTCGGCAAGATCGCCCCTGTTCTCATCTCTAGGCTATTCGGGGAGCGCGAAGACAATGTCCGGTTAGAGGTCATTGCAGCTACCACCGCTTTGATTCGAAAGACGGGATCTGGTCTGTCCGAGTCACTCACAAGGGTCGATTCTTCAGAAAATCCAGCAATGCCTACCAACACTCGCAAGCGGAGACGGCAAGACAGCGAAGCCGACAAGAAGGATCCAGATCTCCGGGGTCTCGTCTCCATTCGATCCAGTCCTCCTATTGTCCCAGCCTCCCCACCGACGGGGTCGCAGGCTGAGCTTGTCGGTCTGGTACCAAAGATTGTGCAGGCACTTACAAAGTTGTGGAAGAAAGCAAGCATAGCACTGAAGCAGGCTGCAGTTGTCATGCTCAAGACTTTAACGTTGGCAAGAAATGGAATCTTGTCGGATCACCTGCAGCAGCTGGAAGATGCCGTTGCAGATGCTTTGAAGCCGTCGTCGAGCTCAGGGTCCAGTGGTGCGGTATCAGGCACCTCCGCAACAGCTGCCAGTCTTCAAATTGAGACGTTGACTTTGATCAGTGCCATTGCGGAGACTAATGGTACTACTGTGCTGATTCCGTTTGTCATCGCGCTCATCCCTCCTATCACAGCTATTGCTCGTGATCGAAACTATAAAGTTTCAACGGAAGCTCTTGTCACGGTTGAACAGTTTGTCAAGGCTCTGACTCCGCCTCGGCTGCCTACTGCCAACCAAGACCATGCTATACACATTGAGAAGCTCTGGGAAGTCATAATCGACCGCGTTACCGACAATAACACTGACCGGGAAGTGCGACATCGTGCTATTCAGGTATTTGGTGTTCTTATGGCGAGGACATCGGGCACTCAACTGCTGTCAAGCTCAGCTAGGGTTAGGAGCCTTGGGATCCTAAGTGACAGGTTGAAGAACGAAACCACCAGACTCGCGAGTGCGAGAGCAATTGGTCGCATCGGTGAGGCCGCGAGCAGTCACGATAATATCGGTTCTGCGTGGGTTCAAGAAGTTTCCCTCGAGATGGCCAGTCAACTCCGCAAAGCTGATCGAGCTCTCCGAGGTTCCTGCCTGGAATCCTTACAATATCTTGCTTTGAACCCTGTGACATCCTCATTGTACGAAACTACCACGATCCTGCAACTGCAAGGCATGTTGATGCCTTTGCTTTCCGTTAACGACCTTCAGTTGTTAACTCCAACACTTGTCATCATGTCCAAGATCATCCCCACCAATCCCCAAGCTCTAGTTACCTTGGAGCTGGTCGAAGCGCTGTGTCCCATTTCGCAAAATCGGATCGAAGGCCCTCCTCTCCGAGCTTTCCTGCTCCTGGTGAAAGTCATTGGGGAGCAGGGAGTCGGAGCGTTGCTCATGAAACATCTCCTCACCATTGGGACCACCGGCGAGACTATGGTTCTCGGAAGAGCTATCGGCACATTACTAGTCTACGGTGGCGACAACCTCAATATTACGATAGCTGATTTTTTAAACGAACTCGAATCGTCCCAAGACGTGCGAGCCATCTGCTTGGCCTTGACGGTGCTCGGAGAGGTTGGATTCAGGATGGGACCGAAGTCGCCTGTGAATATTCACACCTTTATCCGTTGTCTCTCAGCCGAATCAGACAAAGTCCGACTCTCTGCCGCCATTGCACTGGGCAGTGCGAGTTCCAACAACATTTCGGAATGTGTGCCTATCATCCTGCAGAGCTTGACACAGGAATCGACATCTGACTATCTCTATTTGCACTCTGTCAAGGAGATTCTCGAACACTCTGAAAGCTCCTTGGGAGAGATGGCTCCATATGCAGCGGAATTGTGGCAGAAACTCTTCGCAGTGTCACAGGTCGAGGACAACAGCGCGGTCGGAGCCGAGTGTATTGGTCGATTGGCCACGATCGACCCAGATACATACGTCCCTGAGCTCTCAAAGGCACTGGCAGACCCGAACCCCTTGGTGCGTGGCACTGTCATTTCCGCCTTCCGGTTCACGCTGGGCGAAGCCAGCAACTCGTACAACAACATTCTCATCAAGACCATGACGCCCATGCTTCAGATGATGCTGAGTGACAACGACCTATCCAATCGACGTCTGGCCGTCACCACACTCAATGCCGCAATTCATAACAAACCAGAACTCGTCATTCCCGATGTAGGCCAACTCCTCCCTACAGTCTTGGAGGACTCGAAAATCAAGCCCGAACTTGTGAAGCAGGTCAAAATTGGGCCCTTTACACACACTGAAGATGCAGGTCTCGACCTTCGGAAATCTGCGTATGCGACCATGTACGCTCTGCTAGATTGCCCCGGCGCGATCCCGCATCTCCCTATCCCCAGGATCTTTGACCGCATCCTAGACGGGATCCCCGATGACCACGATATCCGCACCTTGTGCATCCTTATGCTGGGTCGCCTATCCGTGATTGAACCTGACCAGATACCCCGTCGATTGCCCTTTCTGGCCGAAAAGTTTCGGGTGGTTTTGGGTGCGAAATTGAAAGAGAACGCCGTCAAGCAGGAAATTGAGAAAGTGAATGAAGCAAACGCCGCGGTAGTGCGGATCACTCTGGAACTGGACAGGAAGTTTCCAAATGTGACGGTGGAAGGCATCGGCGGCGAATTGATCTCATGGAAAGCCTATGTCGAGTTTGTTAAGAGAGAATTTGCGAGCATGGTGAGAAATGTGCAGATGGAAGGGGCATAGGAGGCCACTACTGATCACGAAGAGGAGCCTGTTCCTCCAAATTGAGTGCCATTCGCCGCGACGTGTGAGGGGAAGCAATAGTCACAGCCTGGAGCGCGTGCTTCAAATGCATGTGTGGAGCGGAAGCCGGGGTGCTGCAAGGACGAGTTGCGATACAGAGATGAGACTCAATTGCACGAAAGAGACGGCGTGACGGCAGAGACGGCCCGACTTTGCACAGTCGATATTAGGTACGGGGTCAAAATCAGCGACGGGGGATGACATAGCGCTGTCGCGATCATCAACCATATACCCACGCCCCATAGCCATCCAGATAGACATTATGAGACCAGAGCCAGACGAGAAAAATGAAAATCATAATGTGATTTGTGCGCAAAAGGAGCTCATTGTAAGTCCAGTCAATCAGTTAGTCAGTCAGTCAGTCAGTCAGTCAGTTACTCAATGCTTGCTTCGGTGCTTTGACTGAGACGGTAGGATGGTCAAGTACTTGTATATCCAGCGGTATTTGTCCTGTCCTGTCCTGTTTTGTACTGTCTTGCCCCGTAGGTAGCGAGGTATTTAGCGAGGGATATAGGTAATTAGGTAGATTCCCGTCGTATTATGTATGTATGTATGTATGTATGTATGTATGTGTGTATGGATGTATGTATGTGTGTATGTATGTGTGTATGTGTGTGTGTATGTATTGATGTATGTGTGTATGTATGTATGTATGTATGTGGGTGTTTATGTATAATGAAAGATGGAGGAGATATAAAAAGTGTCAGACGGGGAGGGTCGAGGAAGACA